TGAAGCAGAGTGTGGGGGGGGCGGGGGTGAAGTCAGAGAGGTGACTGATCATGGAGGGCCTTGAATGATCTAGCACTTAAAACAGGACCGTAGCTGGTGGGCATTTTAACTGGCACACGCCGCAGACGTTGGAGGGGGAAGGCTGGCATCGGGAGGCCAGCCGGGAGGCTCCCGCGATGATGGGCCACGTGCGGGCCCTGGGCACAGGCGAAGGTGCGGCTGGCGGGTGGGAGGCAGCGCGGGCGGGACTCACAAGTGCTGAGGCCGACCGCTCGCCTGGGGCAGACAGTCCGCCGACGGGTGCGCCCCGGGGGACCGGAGTCCGGGGTCCAGGCCGCGGAGGGGCGGGGCGTGGAGCTGGTCCCCGGTGCCCCCGAAACCCGGCTCGCTGAGGACGAGCAGAGGGCAGACGAGGTGGGACCCGCGGCATCCGGGGCAACCAGGTGACCAGGGGCCTGATGCCGAACCAGACGGTTCCGCCCAGGGGGGCGCCCCGCTGTACGGGTGCCGCCCAGCGGCCAGTAAGCGGCCGAGAGCGGAGGTGGGCCCTGCAGTGTGGGCGCCCCTGCCGAAGCCTGGCTGGAGAGAGTGGAGGAGGAAGAGGAGGAAAGGAGGCAGGTGACGAGTAGATCCACCTTAGACGGACGCGGAGGAGAGACGTGGGGGCCCCCACGCGGGAACCTGATTCCCAGGTCTTGGGTGGGGGCGCGGCTGCCCGGGGGGCCCGGGCTGTGCTGAGGCTCCTGCGGCTCCTGGCTCTGCGGCTCCTCTCCCGTGTCACCCGGACCCTCGGGGGAAACGCCGGCTGGCCAGGCGCCCCGGGCCCCATCTGTGTCCCTGCTTCCTCCTGCCGGCTCCGCCCGGCCCCCCCTGACCTGCGCACCCTGCCCTTCCCTTTCGGGCTCTCCCTCTCCGCGCCCGTTGGCCCACACTTGAATTGTGTCTGACCCTAAAGCAAAAATCTCCAAAAAGCTAAAATGAGAAATCATGAAAGATCCGACTGGTTGATTTGATTGTGCAATTTTAATGTATTCATTTGGAAAACGCAAGTAACAAAACTTGAAACAAAAGTAAAGTGAGGTGCCTCTTGCCACACAGTCCCTGGGCAGACATCAGCCCAGGGACTTCGGGGAAGGGGGATGTGACGACGTTTCCGAGGGGCCTTAAGGAAGGCGGATTGAGGGGTGCGCATGAAGGACGTCTAGAACGCCTATTTTCAGGGGGAGGAATCGATACTAATGATGTATGTGGTCTAACGCCCAACATCACTCACCGTCAGGGAGAAGCAAACCAAAACCACCAGGAGGGGTCACCCGCACCTGTCAGAATGGCCGGAGGCCACAACACCCGCAACAACAGGTGCTGGCGAGGACGTGCAGATAGGGGAACCCTCGTGCGCTGCTTTGTGCAGCCACCCTGGAGAACAGCATGGAGGGTCCTCAAACAGTTAACAGAACGACTCTTCAATCCAGCAATTGCACTACTAGGTATTTACCCAAAGGATACAAAAATCAGATTCGAAGGGACACATGCACCCCGATGTTTATAGCAGCGCTGTCAGCGATAGCCAAGTTGTGGAAAGAGCCCGAGTGTCCACCGATGGATGAAAGGATAAAGGAGATGTATGTATATACACACAATGGAGGATTATTCAGCCATACAAAACTGAAACCTTTCTATTTGCAACAACATGTATGAGGCTAGAGAGTATTGTTCTAACCAAGATAAATCACTTGTCAGAGAAAGACAATATGATTTCACTCCTATGTGGAATTTAAGAGACAAAACAAACAAGCAAATGGGGGGAAAAAGAAAGAAAAAGAAAGGAAGAGAGAGGCAAAGCAAGAAACAGACTCTGAACTCCAGAGATGACACTGCTGGTCACCAGAGGGGAGCGGGGTGGGGGACGGGCGAGCTGGGGTGGGGAACGGGTGAGCTGGGGTGGGGGATGGGTGAGCTGGGGGGTGAGGATGAAGGAGCACACTTGTCGTGATGTATGGAAGGGTCGGTTTTCTATGCTGTTCTCCAGAATCTAATATTACACTGTATGTTAACTGGCTGGAATGGAAATTGAAAACTTAATAAAAAAAGATGTCTGTAGTAGAATTAACTGTCGTTGGGAAAACTGGAGTCGATCTGATGCCCAGCGACTTGAGGAGGCTCCATGTGGTGGCGCGTGCCCGAGCCTGGGAACCGCGACGGCCACGGAGTGCCGTCCTCGGACAAGGGTGTCCCGGGAGGGCCCAGCTGGACGACGAGGTGGACGGACGGACACGGGCCACAGAGAAGGCCCAGGAGCGAAGAACGGCGTTTACGGTTTTAACTGATTGGAAGAAAATCAAAGTAATACTATTTCTGGACATGTGGAAAGTACGGGAAATTCAAGTATCAGCGTCTCCGAATGGAGTTTTACTGGCACAGACCCCAGCACGTGCTGGCACCGCAGCCGCGAGGGGAGTGGTTACAAGAGAGGCCGGTTGCGACGCCGTGTTCACCTCCCGCCCTTAACAGACAAGGTCCACTGACCCCTGATGGCTAAACTCGCGGAGAAAGTCAAGTCAACACGGAGCTTTTCCTGACGACTCGGCGGGAGGAGCTAGGACTACCAACCGCTTTTCCTCTTTCTTCCGACTTTCCCGGGGTATCTCCGCTCGCTCTCTGCGGTGCGCGCCTTCTGCTTTTGTGCGGGGTAGTTTTCACACTGCACTGCCCCCAGCTTCCGGGCCCCCAGGGGTCTTCTCCCCAAAAACAGTGGTCATTCAAGGGCACTCTCCTCAGGAACTCAAGGGAAAGGGGCTCTCGGGCCCCCCACAGGGACCCAGGAGCGGGAAGTGGCGCATCTGGGCGGGTCCTCCTGAATGTGCGTTCACTGTTCCCGGGGACACCGCGCAGCCAGGGACCCGCCGAGGCCCTGTGCCTGTTGCAGCTCCGGCCTCCCGGCGGGTCCCCCACCTGGCAAAGCTCGGCTGTCCCCACCGGACAGTGGTCAGGAGACCCAGGCCCACTGCTCCCGCCCCCACCCCGGGAATGGATGGGTCAACTTGGCAAGCTGGAGGGGCACCACCAGGAGACCCTCCTCAGTGAGGGGTCAGCAGCTCAGTGCAGTGGGCACGTGGAGGGCCGGGCAGCTGTGGGCGGTCCCAGTGACTTGGGGAGGAGGCAGGGGTGCAGAGAAGTGAGCGAGGGGAACAAGACTGCCTCAGAGGCTGGAGAGGCAAAGGGCCAGGCCCTTCGGTGGGATCTGCCGCGTCACCCCGCAGTCCCCATCTGAGGGGGAGGATCGTTGCCCGGCCCACCCAGGAGACGAGGCTCAGAGCTGGTCAGCTTGTCAGAGGCAGGCAAGACCCTGGGGTCTCCCCGAGTGGGGCTGCCAGGGGTCTCAGTGCTTTCTCTGTGTCCCCCAGGTGTCTTCCTGCCCCCGTCCCCAGCAGCAGCAAATGAGCCTGTCCTGGAAGAAGTGGGCGTTATGGCTCTGGCACCCCTGGCCGACATGCTAAACAGCCCGGAGCCCGGCCCCGCGGCAGGCCCCCTCGTGAGCCCCCTGACGGGCCCCCTCAGCACCCTGCTGCCTGCTCCAGGGTCCATGCCACAGAGCAGCCCGTTCACCAGCGTCCTGCCGAGCTCCTGGAGCAGCCACCTGGCCAGCCTCTTGGCGGCGCCCCCAGGAAGCACACTGGGCAGTTCTATGGGCCAGCTCTCCACCGGCCCCCTGACCTCGACCAGCGCCCTGGCCGGCCTCAGGGTGGCGCCCCCCGGAGGCACGCTGGGCAGTTCCATGGGTCAGCCGTCCACCGGCCCCCTGACCCCGACCAGCGCCCTGGCCGGCCTCAGGGTGGCACCCGCCGGAGGCACGCTGGGCAGTTCCATGGGTCAGCCGTCCACCGGCCCCCTGACCCCGACCAGCGCCCTGGCCGGCCTCAGGGTGGCGCCCCCAGGAAGCACGCTGGGCAGTTGCATGGGCCAGCCCTCCACCGGCCCCCTGACTCTGGGCGGCGCCCCGATGGGCCCTGTGACAGGCCCAGTGGCCATCTCTCTGAGCAGCCCCCTGCCCACCTCCACAGCTGCCCCTCTAGGTGTTTCTCAGCACCTTCTGGCCAACCCCATGAGCAATCAGGTGCTGTCGGAGGCCCCGAGGGTGCGGCCCACAGAGCCGATCGGAGGATACCCCTCTGGACTCCATCCCTCCGCTGCAGCAGGGCCTGCTGGCACCACCAAAGGTACCCGGTGCAAGGAGAGGGGCAGCAGGGCACCCCCAGCCCCCGCAAGGCCGGTCATCGGTCCTGCCTTGCTCTGACCCTCCTTCTCTCCTCTCTGTCCCACAACGTCACTAGTCCCAATGTCTGCCGAGCACCCGCCGCCGATCCAGAACCTGGAGCCCCTCAGCATGACGTTTGTGGGCGCGCCCATACACAGCTCCACCCCCGTCGGGACCGCGGCTGCATCTGGCCCCGGGAAGGCCTTCTCCTACGGCACCTCAGACGCTGAGAGCCAGCCCGGTGCCCCCCAGGGACAAGCAGTTCCTGCATCCGCCCCTGTCACGCCAACTGCCGCCCCCACTGACGGAGTGCTCGTCCCCGCCCCGCCCCCCACTCCCCAAGCTGCCGCCACCGACTACACCTCCGCCAGCACCGCCCACGCTGCCCAGTGCCCACCCCCATCCCCCACCCGGGTGCACCACTCGCCCACCCCCCACTCCCCTCCACGAAATCCCCACTCCCCACCTCGAACCTCATCCTCCCCGGCTTCGGTGAACGACCCCCGGGGTCCACGCGGCACAGAACCATCTCGGAAAAGCATCATGGAGCTGGAACGGAAGCTGGCCCACCGAAAGAGCAACAAGCTCCCCGACAGCCCCCGAGGTCAGTGAGCAAGTTCAACACAAGTGCCGGGGTCTCCCCTGAGGCCCCAGCCTGGCCGCTGAGCACTCCCCACCCCTGTTGTCCCCAGAGTCGAGGCAGATGGCCTGGGAGCGGCTGGTGGGGGAGATCGCCTTCCAGCTGGACCGCAGGATCCTGTCCGGTATCTTCCCGGAGCGCGTGCGCCTCTATGGCTTCACCGTCTCCAACATCCCAGAGAAGATCATCCAGGTGCCCGGTCCCACTCACCACCAAAGGCCCTGCCCTGTCACCCAGCAGGGGTGGGGAGGTGCTGGCCTTGGAGGAGCTGCCCAGGGGTGGGGGTGGGGGGGACGCACGGGGCTGAACACCGTTCTTCCTCCATGTCAGGGCGCCCTCGGACTCTGGCGAGTTGGCGTGCAGTGGCCAAAAGGTGTCCACGCCATCTGGCAGCAGGAGCCTGCGGTCCTCGCCACGTGGCCTCCCCAGGGACAGGGCAGGGTGGGGCCCCGAGCATGGTCCGGTCTGCACTGCCCCCGCCTTTGTCACTGCTGTGGCTTCCGGTTGGCCAGCCCTCACTCCCCCCACTAACAGATCGATGCCTTCCCCACCCGACGGGTGCCCTCCAGAGCCTCAGGGACCGCAGGCCCAGGCTCATTCCAGTACATTCTTGGCACGCCATCCACTGAGCCTGGTTCCTGTGAGGGGCACGGCAGACGGGGCTTCTCAAACGTCCTGGGCGCCCCTACCTGGCATCAGTTGCGGGACGCTCTCTACGGCCGTGGGAGGGGGGCAGGCGGGGGGTGCGGGCTGTGCTTGGCTGGGGGCCCAGAGGCGGCTGTCTAGAACCATCGCCTGTGCCCCCTCCGCCACCAACGCACCAGCTCTGGCTGAGACCCCACGCCTGGGGCGGGAGAGGAACGCCTTTTGGGCTCTCCCTGGGCAACAGGCCTCTGTGCTCCTGGCAGCTTTCTCTCCGGCGTCTTTATCTGTAGACCACAGACCTGGTGTGTGACTGGCAGGAATAGCCCGGGTACCGTGGGCTCATCCGTGTCCAGGCTTGAGCTCGCCTTTTCCTTTGATCAGTGTGTCCTTTGGTTCAGTTTTCAGTTTTAACGTGGTCAGAATGATCTCCGTTTCCCTTTACTTGTTTGTACTTTACCTTTCACGTCTCCCTTAAACCTAGAGTGGTAGGGGAGCTGCCCAGCCCGGCCCCTCGCCCCTCTCTGCTCCCTCTCCGGCCCCTCTCCACTTATCGGGAGCCAGTGCGTCTGCCCAGGACCCCACAGTCACAGCACTAGGTGAGAACTCTTCGAGGAGAGCAGGAAGCCACCTTTGTCCTGGCGTCTGAGGACGTCAAGGAGCTTGGCGCCCCCTCGGCCAGCGCCTGTGGGGGAGGGGCTGTGGCTGGCACCGAACGCTCATGCCGTCTCCAATCCCAGGAGCATTGGCCCCATTCACCTTCCATCAACAATGACCAGTGCTGCCAGGGTCATACCTTCCGCCCGAGCTCCTGAGAAGCGCCCCGCCGAGCCCGCCCGCACAGACGTTGTCTTAGGGGCCAAACGCCGCCCCCCCCCCCCCCCCCGGCTGGCCCCCTGCAGGTTGGCCATGTCTGGTACCACCTGAGGAGCATAAAGACGCTCTCTAGGCCATCCTGCCTGCCTGCCGGCCCGGCCCGTGTGTTGGTTCCTATCAGCATCCAATTCCACTTTGCCCAGACTTTTATTTCCTTTCCTCAAAACATCTTGTTTTTCTGCACATTGAACTCCAGTGTCGGTCGTCGCTAGAATCCCTAATTCTGTAACCCTGGTCACACCTGGTGGCCGAACCTGGCTCCTTTGTCTCACGAATGCCGTAGAGCGTGACAGCTGAAAAGCTTTCATAGAGACCCACTGCTGAAGGAGGACTTGCAGACTGTTCTCAACGAATTTGGCCATCTTTTTTTATAAGTTCACGGTCACCTGTGCCATCTTTTAAGCTCAACTACAAGTTGCCCCAGTGCCCAGACCTGTCACCTCTTCTCTTCAGCTGCAAACATACTCTGCTTCGGGTGTGTGTGTGGAGGGGGTGCTCTGAGCATCTTCCTTTCAGGTCCCAGTCACAGCAGACCTGCGCCCAGCCGCACCAGTGCCGGTGCCACGGAGGGGACCTCGTGGCTGGGTCCGGCTGGGTCCTGAGCCCCCCCACCCCCCAGTGCTTTCTGCTGACTACGGTTTTGGGTTTTGCCTAATGGTTTGCTTCCGGCTGCCATGCCAAAGTCTTGCTCTGGTTCTAATAGCCTGTATATCATCTTGGCTTTTCTATGTAGACAGTCATAGTGCACAGTGTTTAAAAGAAGCAGAAAATACAGCAACCTCGTCCTGTGTCTGACGTGACTACAAACGCGCATCTCAGGCCGCCCGCTGAGGGGGATGTGTGTCCCGGCTTTTTGCCAGGTCTTCTTCAGTCAGTTCTTGGTTGCAGATAATAGAATCGACGCTAGCTGATGTAAACAGAAAGAGGTTTATTATGTTAAGGTGAGGACACAAAACTGGGCACAAAAGTTAGTACCGCTGACCCTGAAGAACCAGGGTCACAGCCACTCAGTCTCCGGGGCACCTGCCCCCCGGGAGGCACCGCCTGGAAGTTCCACTCATGTGCCCGCTGGGCAGAAGCCCAGGTCGCCGGGGTCCCTAAGCCCCAGGGGAGTCTTGAAGAGGCTTCCAGCTTCAGAAAAGCACTGGAAGCTCTAGAACAGGAGCCTGATGAAGCTTCAGCACCTGCCAGATCACGTTAAGTTTATCCTCTTCCTCATTTATTGAGACCTTTGGGGAGTTTTCTTAATCATGAACAAATACTGATCTTTTAGAATGTATTTTCTGTCTTTCGTTGAAAAGATGACACTTCCCTCCCTCCCTTTTAACATTTCGGAAGGACACACGAGAAGGTATTCTGATTGTAAACCGCACTGCATCCTGGTGTTTTTGTTTTGTTTTGTTTGTTTCTTGAGAGAGAGGGAGAGGGAGACAGGGTGCGGGTGGGGGAGGGGCAGAGAGAGGGAGACAGAATCCGAAGCCGCTCCAGGCTGCGAGCTGTCAGCCCAGAGCCCGACGCGGGGCTCCAACCCACGAACGTGAGATCATGCCCTGAGCTTAACCAGCTGATGCCCCCTGGGCGCCCCACCCTGGTGCTTTTATTGCCTGGAGATGCCGTTTGCGGTCATTTACGACTTCTGCAGCTTCGCCGAGCTGCTGTGACAGAAAGCAGGCGCGTCAGGACCCAGGGGCGCCCCCTCGGGGAGCGCCGGCCGGCGCCGCCCTCGGCGCCAGGGGGCGCCCTGGGTCCCGGACTCCGCCCAGGGGCGGAGCTCCCGGCCCCAGTCTCACCCCATTGGCCCGGCTCGGTGACGTCAGCCGCTGCGCTCGCGGGGCTGTGCGCGTGTAGGACGCGGCGGGCTGCTCCGGAGTCGCCCCGGCAGCGTTGATTTCTCGCACTTGCCCTTTGCTCTACGGACAGGGGCTGAGCCGCACCGATCGTGCCGCGTGCGCCCCGCCTCCCTTATCACTGAACGCGTGGCCAGCGTCGTTTCCGGGAGGGCAGGTCTGGGTGGTGAGCACGCGTGCATGCTCGGGACCGCCTGTTCTGTCCCCGCATCAGGCCCGACGCCAGGCCCCCCGCTGGGTCTCCCTCGGAAGAGGCTTCCCGTGTGTACGTCTGCACCTGCATTCACCGATGCCCCTCCATGTCTTCACTCCCTACCGTGCGGCGTTCAGTGCGTGCCAGGGTTACGTCAGATAGACGGTCCCTGCGCTCGGGGAGCTCCCCCACTCCTGGGGAGGCCTTCAGTAAATAAGAAAACCCATAAAGATGTGTGCCACCGGTCCCGGGGGTGACACACGCTCTGAGGGGCGGGCGAGTCCGAGGGTGGGAGCCAGGCCCTGAGGTGGCCTGTCTCCCCCCACCTGTCTGTCTATACTCTGGCCTCGTCCTGGCCAACTGCATCATTCCGCCTCTATTCCTTTGAAACCCAGTTCCGCTCAGCGTGAGCGCCCAGTGATGTGCCCCGTGGTGCCGGCACCCCCGCGAGGTGGTGTGCTCGGCACCCCCCAGAGACAGGGCCTCTACTTTTCAAATCACCTGTCAGGTGGTCTGCTTTCCTCTGTGTCTGAGCAGCGGAGGCTCAGACCCAGTGTGGGGATGGAAGCAGCCCTTGAACTAGGCTCTCCCTGGGGGCCCCTCCCCTTGCTCTGTGCTCTGCCTCCTGGTACCTTCCATGCCATGCATCTGTTTCTTGTCCTGGAAGTTTCTCTCCTCCTGGGGTCCTCATCCCTCGCACCTCAGCCCAGCACCCTCTCCCTTCCAGAGTCCCGCTCCCCACGGCCAGAGGCCAGGCGTCACTTTGGCTGAGCCCAGCCGGGAGTCCAGTGCTCTGTTCACAAGACCAGCTGGGGAGGAGAGGACGGGATATGCCCAGAGAGGGCCACGCCTCGGCAGCCGGCAGGCCGGGAGCCAGCCCGGGGCATCTAGGGAGCAGGTGGGGGGCGGTGAGCGGGCCAGGATGGGGACCCTGCAGGTCAGCCCTGGCCCCGGGAGGTGGGATGCGTAGGAGGGCCTCGGGCAAGCAGAGACCCCATCTACTTCAGCCCCGTCATTCTGTGGGCCTGGGGGCAGCGGCACTGTGACAGGTGTGCAGATGAAAATACAGGGCTCTTTGGTCAAAAACTGGAAAGAACTTCAAGACGGCGACAGCAGGGCATTAAGCTGCGTGCGGGCCCTTCTGAGCAGGGGCCCGAGTGAATGTCCATGTCTTGTCACATGCCCAGGAGGAGGGGCTGGTTTCCCGGTGAGACCAGGCGGGTGCAGGCACCGCGGGGCCGGAGGGCACGGGCAGAGAGGAAGGGGGCGGAGACCCACCCAGGTCCCTCCCCCAGGACACGTCCCTCCAGCACGGTCCCTCGGCCACACCCCTCGGCCGCGCTTCTCTCGCCTTTGTGCGGGCGGGAGCGGGAGGGACCCTGACGCCCCCCCTCCCCTCAGGCCTCCCTGAGCCCCAGCGGCCACAAGCTGGACGAGGAGCTGTGCCAGACCCTCACGCAGCGCTACGTGAGCATCATGAACCGGCTGCAGAGCCTGGGCTACAACGGGCGGGTGCACCCGGCGCTCGCCGAGCAGCTGGTGAACGCCTACGGCATCCTCCGCGAGAGGCCGGAGCTGGCGGCGTCCGAGGGCGGCTCCTACACCGTGGACTTCCTGCAGCGCGTGCTGGTGGAGACGGTGCACCCCAGCATGCTCACCGACGCGCTGCTGCTGCTCTCCTGCCTCAACCAGCTGGCGCACGACGACGGCAAGCCTATGTTCATCTGGTGACGCGGGCTCCCGCCAGCCAGGCCCGCCGCCCCGCTCCCCGGTGCCAGGCCATTAAAGCTCCGCACAGACGCGAGCCGCTGGGCCCCCGGCCAGAGCTCCTTGGGGTGCTGCCTCCGCTGGGGTGGCCCACCAGCGCTTCCTCCCCGCATCCCTTCAATCCTGCTTGCCCTGGGACTCCAGGCCCATCCGGGGTCCTTGGCGAGAGCCCCAAGACCCAAGTTTGGCTGCTGTCTGGCGGAGGGAGGCGGTGTCTAAAGGTCCCCAGGCTGTGCCTGCGGGGGCGGAGCAGCAGCAGGGGCCCCTGGGGCGGGGACGGGAAGAGCAGGCAGCCAGAAGGCGCCCACCTGGCAGGGAAGGGCCGTGGCTGTGCCGGGAGCTAAAGCCTGGGTGCAGAGCGGAAGGCAGGAGACAAGGTGGATGTGGGAACCCTTCCCCGTCCTAAGCTGTGAAGGGGGTGGGCTCCTGGACCCTCACTGAGGGCAAGAAGACAGAAGACAGGCGAGACCCTGGAGAAACTAGCCTCACCCAAACCCGAGCGAGGGGCACCCCAGGGAGACGTGGCTGATTGCTGAGGCTCCACAGGCTTCTGAGCCTCGGAGCTGGAGCGGGCAGAACCCACCAGCGGCCGCGGCCAGGGGCGCAGGACAGGCAGAGGGCGGAAGCAGACCAGAGCCGGAGGGGGCACGGGGCGTGAGCTGGACCCTCCGGGGTAACCTGCCGACCACCGAGAGGGGCCTGCAGATAGTGCAGGAACCTGAGGACCGAGGCCAGGATGGGGGTCCTTGCCAGGGCTCGCATGCGTGAGAGACGGGCAGTGGGGTGAAGCCCACAGAGTGGCCTCGGGCCTACCAGGGGTAGAGGCCAGGGCCCGCCGGGGAAGGGAGGGAGGCAGAAGGCGGCCGGAGGTGGGAGTGAGGACCCCAGCAGAGGTGGCTCCCGGCACCCGAGTGCTTGCCAGCCAGAGCGCTCCGAGGGAACAGAGGAGCCGCAGGGTTCGACCAGAGGCATCATATCAGCAGCCAGCAAGGAAGGCAGGGAAGGAGAGGGTTGTGGGGTGTGCTGGGGCTCCCTGCCCTCTCCACTCCCAGGCCTGCTACTTCAGGGCATCCAGCCAGATCCCCGGGGACAGGCAGGGAAGGACTCTACACAGAGAAACGTGAGATCTATAGATAGAACTCTCCCAGCTCTGCCTGCTGCCAAGGCCTAGCATAGGGCAAGATGCACCAGGAGCGGCGAACACACCCAGCGCCGGATCCGGGTTTCTAAAGGGGATCCGTCAAGGATTCCAGGAGAATTGGGGGCGGGGGAGGCAGAAGCCCCTCCTCCTTCCTGCAGGTAGTGGTGAACGGCTGTCCGGACCCGAACTCCTGGGCAATTTAAGAGCCAACCAGGAGATCCGTGGGGTGTGGTTCACAGCTCAAATTAAGATGTGGGCTCCGAGGGAGGGGCGGCGCAAATCCTTAACAACGGTCCCTCATCCGTTGATTGGATGGTCCATCAATCCAATCAATTGGAAGGTCCTCGGCGTAGGGTCACGGAGCCGTCTGTCACCACGGGGGACAGGCCTCCTAGGGCAGCTCTGCGGGGCTCTCAGTGGATGGCAGCTTAGGGCGTTCTGAGTCCATCCCTCCTCTGGGGATGGTGTCTTTGAACTCAGTTGCAGGACACCTCGACCCCGGGAGACAGGTGGGGGCAGGACAGACCCCTCAGTCAGGACGCTGGAGGGCCCGGACAATTCCGCGCGGGCTTGCGGGACAGGGGAGGGAGCGGGACGCAGCCCGCACCGCACTCCCTCCGCCAGCGCTGCGCCCGCTCCACTAAGGAGGGTCGCTCTCCATTTGCTGTAGGCTGCACCCCAATCACCGCTCGCGTCCGGCAGGTCTGGGGGCTCTCCTGGCGGCGTACAGGGGAGGGCGGGGCGGAGCGGGCACGGAGGATCTGGGGCGGGGCTGCGAAGCCAGGGGCTCTTTCGCTTTCCCTTTTGTTCCCTCCTACGGCCGCCGAGACTCCGCGCGGGGGAGGAGAGCTCGGCTTCCCGCGCGCGCTGGTCGCCGCCTGCGCCCGCGCCCCCACGATCCGGGGCGCAGCACCTACGCCGCTCCGCGCACAGGTTGCGCCACGTAGCCTTGACGCCTGTAACCCCCGCAGCTCCCGAGGACGCAGCGAGGAACCGATTCTCACGCTGGAAGCGACTGGGTCGCAGGGGCGCCCCGAGGCGAAGGAGCCCCGCACGCCATGCAGCCCCCTCCCGACTGGCCCCCGGCGTCCGGTGCCCTACGGCCTTCTCCCTTCCCGCACCCTGGACTGCACGCCCTCCACCGCCTTGCTCGAGCCTTGCTCTTCCCGGCCTACTGGGCCCTGGACCGGCTGCTGGGCCGCTGCGCGCCGGCCGCGCGCCCGAGCGGCCTGCGGTGGCTGACGGCGGCGGCGGGCGCCGGGGCCGCGCTGCTGCTGCTGCTGCTGGTCGGCCTGCCCCTGGCGCTGCCCGGCCTGCCGCTGTGGCTGCTCCTGCAGACCTGGCGCCGCCCCTTCTGCTACCAGCCGCCGCCGCAGTGCTGGGCGCCCCCAGCGCCCTGGCGCCCCCCGGCTGAGCCCGCGCGCTGCTTCAGCTTCCTCAGCGCGAACCTGTGCCTGCTCCCCGACGGGCTGGCGCGCTTCAGCAACCTGAAACACAGCCAGCGGCGCGCGGAGGCTGCGGGCGCCGCGCTGCTCGCCGGCCTGCGGCCCTCGCGCTACGGGGCCACGGGCTGCAGTCCGCCGGGGCCGGGGGCGCCCTGCGGGGTGCTGACGGCCGAGGTCCCGGCAGGTCTGGACTTCGTGTGCCTGCAGGAGGTGTTCGACCTGCGCTCGGCCCACCGCCTCGTGAGCCGCCTGGCACCCAGTCTGGGCCCGGTGCTGTACGACGTAGGCTCGTGTGGCCTGCAACGCGGGCCGCACCTCAAGCTGCTCGGCAGCGGGCTGCTGCTGGCCTCGCGCTACCCTCTGCTGCGCGCCGCCTTCCGACCCTTCCCCCACGCACGTCGCGAGGACGCGCTGGCCTCCAAGGGACTGCTTTCCACACAGGTACCTGCCCAACCGCCCCGCGGCGCCTCCTGGCCGGGGAGAGGGCTGGTGTGGGGTCGAACTGGCGAGGGTTGCTGGGGCCGTCCGTGGTGTTGCAGGCGCAAGTGGGCATCCTGGACGGGCGCCGCGTCGTGGGCTTCCTGCACGGCACGCACTTGCATGCGCCAAGCGGTGAGCCCCGGGGACGCGATCGTCAGCGCGCGGCCAGGCCGTCTGTCCTCTCTGCGCCCCAAACCTTTGGTCCACTGCCCCCGGCCCCGCGAGCCCGGGGGAGGGTCTGCGCCCGGGAGCGGCGGGGAGCGCGACTCCGCTGAGCTTTGCGTCCCCGCCCCCGCAGAGGATGGGCCCTTGCGCTGTAAGCAGCTGACGCTCCTACTGGACTGGATCGAGCAGTTTGAAGCCGAGAGCCGCCAGAGTGGCGAGGCCGTAGCCTTCAGCGTGCTCCTGGGCGACCTAAACTTCGACAACTGCTCGTTAGGTGCGGGCAGGCGGCGGCGGGGCGGGGCGGGGCGGGGCGGGGCGCCTGGCCGCGCCCACCAAGCCCCGGGGCGCCCTGGCCCCGCCCACCAAGCCCCGGCCTCTCCCCGCAGAGGACGCGCAGGAGCAGGAGCACCCGCTCTTCAGCCACTTCCGAGACCCCTGCCGGCTCGGCCCGCGCCGGGATCAGCCCTGGGCCCTGGGTACGGGGGCGCCCGGGCGGGGAGCCAACCTGGGTGCGGCTCGAGGGCCGCGGCTGCCGCTGACACTCCGCCCGTCGCCCGCCCTCCCCCAGGCACGATGCTGACCGCCTCCACCCTCCGCCACTCCGAGGCCTGCTCCCCGGAGATGTTAAGGAGGTGAGTGGCGACCTGGGGGTCAGGCACCGCCCGGAACGCTGGGGTGCCCTGGCCTTGGTGACACCATCCCTCCTCAGGGCCCTGGAGCAGGAGAAAGGGCGCCTCCGCTACCTGGCGGGCCCTCCGGGCGGAGGCCACCGGGCGGAGCCCTGGCGGGGCCGCCGCCTGGACTACATCGTGCACCGGGGAGCGGCCGGAGGCCCGCTAAGCCCGGTCAGTGGCGGAATTCAGGGCGCTGGGCGGGCTGCAGCTGGGGCGACTCCTCAGGCTGACTCCCGCCCCCAGGAAGCGGAACAGGTGACCTTCAGCACGGCCCTGGCGGGGCTCACAGACCACCTGGCCGTGGGACTTCGGCTCCGAGTTTCCGTGCCCTCCTGACACAGGCTCCCAGGCGACGGATGACGACGGACGGACACGGACGCGCAGCGTCAGCCTGCTCTTTATTGTGGGGCCTCCCTCACACCGCCTCCTGGGCTCTGCGGTACTCGTAGACGCTGCCGCGCTCAGAGAAGGCTGGAGGCTGCGGGGGCGACCCCGGCGGGGGGGCGGGGTCGTCCGGGTCCCCGTAGCCCCCACCCCCTGGTGTGTGGAGGCAGAACACGTCCTGTGGAGCAGAGGGGCAGACTCAGCGAGAGCATGGACGCCCCCAAGCCGGCCTCTCGCTGCAGCCCCCCCCCCCCCCCGACAGCGCATCCATCCACAGAGGCCCCACTGTGCGCCCTCTCTCCTTCGGAAACCAAATTAAATTCAGACTCTGGTTATTTTTGCAACTCTGCTCACCCTCTGCGGAAAGGGGGCCGCGGGAGGGCGGGCGGGAATGAGGGGGACAGGTGTGGGTCCTTACCCCGGGGAACACGGGCACCGACGTCTTCCCACCCAGATTCACCGTCCGGCCGTCCTTGCGGATCAGCAGGTTTAGGCCCCGGGCGCCGGGCTCGCCGCCTGCGGGAGGAGGCCAGGTGAGGCTGGCCCGGGAGTCCGGGGAGGGAGGCAGGGGGCGGGCGCGGCGGGAGTCGGGGACCCAGGGGCGCCGCCGCTCACCCTGGAGGCCGTAGGGCCGGAAGGCGCGGCGCTCGGTCAGCACGGACAGAAGCGCCTCCTCGCGGAAGAGCAGCTCGCGGATGACGCCGTCGCCGCCCCGGAAGCGCCCGCGGCCCCCGGACCCCGGCCTCAGCTCGAAGCGGCGCAGGACGACGGGGTACCTGCGCGAGCCGGGGACTCAGCGCGGGGCCGCGGCTCGGGAGGGGCTCCGCCCCGGCCGCCCGCGCCACCGCTCACCTGCTCTCCAGGATCTCGGGGTCGGTGATGCGCGTGTTGGTCATGTGGCTGTGCACGCCGCTGCGCCCGTGCCAGCCGGGGCCCGCGCCCGCGCCGCCCGCCACCGTCTCGTAGTAGCCCATGCGGGCGTTGCCCAGGGTCACGTTGTTCATGCAGCCCTGGCAGGGGCGAGGGCGCTCGCGCTAGGCCGGAGGGGCTCCCCGAGGCCCTCCCCGACCGCACGCCCAGGCGCGCCCACCCCCCCCGCCACACCTGGGAGGCGGCGCAGGCCCCGAAGGCGCCCAGGATGACGTCCACCACGCGCTGCGACGTGAGCACGTTGCCACCCACCACGGCTGCTTCCGGGGACGGGTCCAGGATGGAGCCTCTGGGGATCACGACGCGCACCGGCGCCAGGCAGCCCTGGGGGGCGGGGGGGGGGGCAGCTCTCAGGGCCGTCGGGAAATCAACGTGGCCCTACGACCAGCGCCCCCAGGTTGTCGGGCTGACCCCCGCCCCAGCTCGCCAGGAGGACAGGCACCTGGTTAAGCGGGATGTCGCGGCCCACAAGGCAGCGCAGGCAGTAGATGAGCGCCGACAGCGTGATGGCCCGCGGCGCGTTGAGGTTGCCGAACACCTCGGGCCCGGTGCCGCTGAAGTCAAACACGGCGCTGCCCTGTGCGCGGGGGGCGGGGAGGCGTCGCAGGTCAGCAGCAGCCCACGCCGCGGATGCCCGGGGCCTCGACCCCGCGGCCTCACCTGACTCAGGTTGATCTGCACGCGGAGCCGGATGGGGGAACCGTCGTCCATGTGGTCCTCTGCTGACACCTCCAGGGGCTGACCCCGGGCCTGCCGGGAGCTTCCGAAGGCCCGCAGCATGTCCCGCACGGCCAGCTCCGCGTTGGCCTGGCGGACGGCGCGTTCAGCCGCAGCCCCGCTGCCTTGCGGCCGCCAGGTGCGCGCGCCTCCCCGCATGGCCGGGGGCACGCCCAGAGCGCCCCCCGGCTCCTGAGCCGAGCCCCACCTGAATGTGACCCATGTAGGCCTGCACCACGTCCAGGCCATACTGCCCGATGAGCTCTCCCACCAGCTGGATGCCCTTCTGGTTGGCGGCCACTTGGGCGCGGAGGTCTGACAGGTTGTCGTGCAAGTTCCTCGAGCCGCTGCAGCCTGGAATCTTGCCTGGAGCCCGCAGGGCCTCGGCTACCGCTGCATGGATGGGGTCACCGCTGAGCCAGCCTCCGGGGGGAGGGGGGTACTACCCGGCCCTGCTCTGCGCCGACTTCGCCTCTGCCGGGCTCTGTGGGGGGCTCCCCATGTTGACCCTTCCCTGGCTTCCCACAACCCTGCTGACACCCCCGCCCCGGCACCCCCTAAACCTGCAGCCTCTTCCCATCTGCTCGACCTTCTCCTTCCCACAGTCCAGCGCCCAGGGCACCCTAGGCTTTGCCTGCGCTCTCACAGGAATTGGAGGTGCCCGGGGAGGAACGGGGGGTCCTCCTACCTTTGATTCCTTCTGCCCCACCTCCCCACTGCCCTCAGTCAGATGGCACCCACTGGCCCCTCTCAGCCACTTTGCAAGAGCGTCAGCTAGCTCTCCGAGCCTCGTGCCCTACCTCCAAACACGTCCCACCCAGGCCTCTGCCCCCCTGGCGAGCCCCAGGGACCCGGGGAAGGCCTCTCCCCAGCAGAGCTCCCAGGACTCTCTGAGGTTCCCTGGCCACGTGTCCTTTGCCACGTGCCTGCCCACGTTCCTCCCATGATCCCTGGCCCTGCCCTCTGTCCCCACCACACACACTGGGCAAGGGAGCAGCCCAGCCTGGGTCACCCTGTGTCTTCCGCATCCACGGCAGCCTGAGGCTCTTTCATCCCCCCGCCACCCTGCCTCCTCTCACCCGCTGGTGCCCCGCACACCTGCAGCCACAGACCAGCTCTGTGTTTGTACTGCCCCGTCCCCGGGCCACACCGCAGCTTCTGCCCGACCTCGCTGCTCTGTGCCCACTCAGTGCCCACTCAGTTCCTCCCTCCACCTTCCGGCTGTCTGAACTTGACTCCAAGCCCTCACCCCCAGATCCCATCACTTACCAGCCTTGGTCTCCAAACCCGTTGTCCCTACCCCTGCTGCTGCCCCCACCCCACTCCCCGCTCCGCGCCTGGCCTCTGGGCCACCCTCCAACCCCCATCTGCTCTGCACGTGGGCGGGGGGCCTCTCATGGTGTAGGGGCCCGGAACGTTCCCCCCGAGCCTGCAGGCCCGGCCCCCGTCCTCAACGCTCGGCAGCCCACAGGCCCAGTGCCGACACGTTGCAGACCAGCCACTGTGAGCAGTGCCTACCTTGAGGCAGCTCCTCTCCCTCCTGTGCCCCAGTTCCGTGGGCGTCGCGGCCCACTCGCCACCCCCAAAACCACTGAGGCCTTCCTGGGCCCAGAACGAATTTGCCTCAGCTCCTCCGATCATTCCTCGGAGATGATCCGCAACCACCTGGGTCAGTGGCTGGCTCAGCAAGGCAGGCCTTGGCCGGTGGCTGGCCCATTGACTCCTCCTCCCCCAGCCTCACCGTCGCCCCAACCCCACTCACTCACCCTCCTCCTGGAAGACTCCTCCCTGGACGAGCTTGAAAGACAGAAAGACGGCGCCCTCCTGTTGCAGTGTGGTGGAGTGGGGGGGCATGGAGCCGGGCGTCACGCCCCCGATGTCCGCATGGTGTCCGCGGCTGGCCACGTAGAACACAGGCCGCATCTGGCCCGGCCAGAACACCTGCACGTGGAGAGCCACAGTGAGCTGTGTGGGCCGCCCTCACCCCCCGGAGATGCCCAGGCAGCGGCCCTCACCGGCGTGATGACGGTCAGGTCCGGCAGGTGGCTGCCCCCGGCTCTGGGGTGGTTGCTCAGCAGCACGTCACCAGGGTGGAGGTCAGCCCCCAGGTGCTGGATCTGAGGCCAGGACACAGTTGTGGAGATGGCAGGGGTGAGCCGAGGGGTGGGGCGAGGAAGGGGTGGGCTGAGGAAAGCAGAGAGGGGGCCGCCAGACCTGGAATTGCACCGTCTCCTGCATGGCTCCCAGGTGCACGGGGATGTGGGGGGCGTTGGACACCAGCCCCCCATCGGGCCCAAAGAGGGCACAGGAGAAGTCCAGACGCTCCTTGATGTTGGTGGAGATGGCCGTGCGCTGCAGGATGCGGCCCATCTGCTCTGGGGGCACAGAGTGACCAGGCGCCCGCTGGCCCCACCCCCACCCCCCTAGCGCGGCCCTCGGGGATGGAGAGGCAGGACAGCTGCCTTCAAGGCCTCTGCCTCCAGACCCAGGACCCAGACGCGGTGGTGGCCTGCTGGACGCGGTGAGGCTGCAGCCAGGCCATGTCCTGCCCGTGTGAGACGTACCCCCTAATTCTCCATCCCTGCTCAAAGCCTCACCAAGAACCTGATACCCCACATCAGCCCCCCACCTTGCCTAGCACAGTAAGAAATCAGTGCAGAGGCACTGGACTCGGGACCCCCAACAGGACCCCAGCCTGACCCCGCACAGACGGGCCCCCTATGCCAAGCCTCTTCCTCGTCCACACACAGGATGGTGACCTCAGGCCCCATCAAGGCTGGCGGGAATTAGGTGCTCACACTGCCTGAGCCCGGGTGCAGTCCTAGGGCCCGCGCCCACCCTGTCGCCAGCAGGGACTCCCCTTTTGCCCCTTCCCCTGGGTCACACGTTGTCTCTCTCTGCACGCCCTGCCAGCCACGTGCCTGCACTACCTCTCCCCAGTGTGTGCCCCTCCCACCGGGAGCAGGGCCATGGGCACCAGGGCAGCCACTCACCAGCAATGCTCATGAAGCGGTGTGAGAAGATGGACAGGTGGATGGGGTCGAGCTGGGCGCCCACCATGCTCGGGGCTTCAGCCCCCACAGTGATGCGGATGTCCCCGGTGTCAGTCACCTCTGCCTGGCAGCCCGGCTCCACCAGGATGGTGCTGAGGGCAGGGGCGCCTGAGGCTGGAGACGCCAAGCCAGACCCCTCCCCCATCCCAAGTAGGGACCCCGCGTCCCCAGGCCGAGGGACACCCCAACCATAATGGGCCCCGGCGTCCTTGCTACCCCTGCAGCCTCGGGCCAGAGCGGCCCTGCCAGAGTCCTGAGCTCACCCAGGCCCTGGCAGCTGTGGCCCCAGAAGCCAGGCTCCAGC